AAAAAAAAAAAAAAAAAAAAAAGAAAAGAAAAGAGGAAGAACAACCGAGATCGAGAACAAGAGACTCGAGAGACTCTAAAAAATATGGCGGATTCGCATACCGACACTTAATTAAGGCATCACCAAGCGGCAAGTACGTTCGATTGCAGATGCTGCCCACCGATTTTCCAACGATTAACAACGCGCGCATGGACAACAGATTATGATTGATGCACGCCTCGGCATCGACATCGATTTTTAACCCCCAACCAAGGATATCCTTAAACCTGTCGATAACCAATTTCGCTTTGAGAAATATCGGCCTTTATCAATCCTCCCTACTTTATCCTCGAACGATTTGATCGACGATCGATGATGCATCCGACACCACGGATATGTTCCCTGTAATAATGGAATTAGAATGATCCGTGTACCGGCCGAGGAGCAGATCGATGCGTGACGTGCATGAAAATAAACTGGACGAGGTTATGGACGTGGAGGAAACACAATATCTCACCATATCGATCGATTCGACGCGATTTTTTTTATTATTTCTTCCTCTTTTTTTTGTTTGATGACGTTTAACTACTTCACTCACATGAATATACGATATATTCGATTGTTTCTTTATAATGACAGTACAAGATTTTCGTATTTACTTTGAGAGAAGAATAATTGGAATTTGTAATACTCGTAAAAACTGTATGAATATTTTATCCATACGTATCACGTATAAAAAAAAAAGAAAGAATTTATTGAAATTTCGTCTTCGTGTCGATGAAACAAATATTTCATAACTTTCACAAATTCAAATTTCAAAAATTCAATTCCACCTGCCAAGACGCCTTAACCTCAACTACACAACATATTTAACTTTTAAGGTTAAAAACATTTTAATTAGGGAGCCAAATTAAATTTCACTGTTGTCCACAAAAGTCGCGGAGAGCCTCCTTTCCCCCCACACACAGATCATTCCTGTACCGGTTGAAAAGCAAACAAAACAAAAAAAGAGAGAGAGAAGATCATCTTTCGCAGTTGGACGAGGACCACGAGTTTCCTTCAGAAAACAAGAAGAAGAAAAAGGAAAAAAGAAAGGAAGGAAGAAGGCAAAAGAAAGTTTGCCGATGGTGGCGCGTAGATTCCCCTGAGTCGCTAATTCGACGGGAACAAGGCAGGGGTACATAAGCCGAAAAGTCATAAAACTATTAGAAAGTTGGCAAAGTAGCTTCGTCATCGCTACGTTGGCGGAAGTTTCGAAATCCAGGCCAAGCTATACCTAATAGATACATCAAGCTTTAACGTCCAAGCTAGATGTTCCATCCATTCGAAAACCGTATTCCTTTTCTTCTTTCTCTCTTGCGCTCCCAGTTCTCTGTCTCTTTCCCTTTCCTTCCTTTTTTCTTTCTTCCCCCCTCTCCTCACGATGGAATCGCGTGAAACGGACAGAAGAGACCGCCACTCTCCAGCAACTCTTCTCTCCACTGTGTACATTATCGCTCGTTCTCGAGGAAACAATGGACGTTAGAGAGCCCACAATAATCGTTAAAACGGCGTCGGATACTCCTCCTTTCGGATCCAGTTTCTTGCCAATTGTTCGCCAACGATGATTCCTAGTTTCCTAGCGGATTTTTCTCATTATCGGGACACGCTTAATCGTGTTTACTTGTACTCGTGTTGATTTTCTCTGTTATTGCATGCTTTGCGAAGAAGTTGATTGGTTATATTTAAAAATTTGTTTTTATAGAATTTATTATACTATATATGTGTGGATTTTTATATAGATTGTTTTTATAAAAAATATTCACGAAGAAATTAGTAATACGGTTCCCAAACGACTTTTGTTTCCTTGAGAGTGATGATTCGTAATTCATGCTACATTTCGTTTTGAATAACGTATTTTTGAATAAATAGAAAAGTTTGAAAGTTTGAAATATTTAATCATTCCTATATTATAGGAATTTAATATAATAATTTTATATATTATTTTGTTCCAAGAACGAATTACGATTATCAATTATTGTGGAATTGAATGTATTTACTTATATATATATAGAAAAAAATGTTATTCCATATTTCGATCGTAGAAATCTTCGTACCACGAATTATAAAGGGCCATCCTGTATACGTGTGCCAAAGATGGTTGCTTCGTGACGTTGCAAGATATAACGATAGGTCATCGTGGCGTCTAATGCGTCCATGATTTTTCAGCTTCCCTCCTCGTTAGTAATTAACGCTGCATCCAGTCTCTCAACCTCGTTAACAAGATCGTGGTATCTACTATATTCAAGTTATATTTTCGCGTACATGTACAGGAGGGGAGAGTGAGAAGGAGGAGGAGGTGAGTCACGTAACGTGATCACTTAAAGTAACCGGTAAACTTTTTTTGTTGCGTTCTGTGTAAAAAGTTGCAGCACGGTGTAGAGT